AGAAGTAAAAGATACACTAGCAGAAATCCTTTCGAAGATTATAAATGTTCTATATGAATTTAATATAATATTTAAAAGCTAAAGGAAAAAATTGTAGCTAAGAGATAAGTCAACATAAAAATCTGGATGGTGGAGAAATGCTTAAGACATGGGCTGAAGGAAAAAGCTGGTAGGAAAAACCCAGTGAAGCGATAATAGAAACGTGACATTTTAAGTAGTAAGAATGATATTCAGTATCTAAAATTAGCCAAGAACTAGAAAATTGTGAAAAACGATATAATTTTAGGAGACAAAATGAACTAATTTTAAGTAAAAAACTAATGATCGTGTATTAATAAACCTCGACACACATATTTGATTGGAAATTAATAGATAAGAAGAATAACTGGGTTCCGATGAATCTCCCAAAACAACATTGCTCGGCAGACTCTCATTTCGTATGAAAGTGCATGATGAAAAGGTTCTAAGGTTGATCTCACCAGAAGACAACGTCTGATTTCCGTTGTGCTGCAGCCGTTTGGCTTTAATATGACTTTCAGGGTGACGCAGTCCACGATACATTATCCATCATTTCGGGTGAAAATGGGCTGAGCCTTCGTCCATTACATGAAGGACATTATCAGAACTGAAAATCAGTATAAGTCTCAAGTTAACAATAGATCAATAAACTGTAAGGAACTAGCTTACACTTTATATATCCTCATAAATAAAAGCGAAAATGTATAGACAGATAAATATAGAATGATTTGACTAACTCCCTTTCATAAGAAATTGTTTGACCTTGTTTTCGCAACTTGGTCATATTGGTAGGAAAACTTAGAGGAACGCACCTAATCCGGAGTCCATTGTATGCATGATCATTTCCAAAGTCGAACTGCGGACGTAGTACATTCTCAGACATTCCGTCGGCATCGTCAGTGAGCCTTACCATTCTTCGCACTATAATACAACTCGTTAAAGAGACAATTGAAGCCGATCCTTTGACCAAATGTGTACTAACTTGTTGTGGTATCTCTCCTTCTGTCATGGGCTATCCGCCTCTTCTATATCCTCGTATCACGCCTTCACTATCACAATTTTTTCCTTGCTTATTTAAATATAGTGTGGTGTGCCATTTTGAGCGGCTTTCATGAGAACCCTCGATATTCCACGCTGGCGTTCTCACCCCTATCCACTGTTGTATCAGCCAACTAGCTCTAGTCTCCACCGCGTCTATCCTGTTTCATTCCCGAATACCAAGTATATGCCTTGATATGTCCTAGTTTCTTGTGTGCCAACCCACGAATGCTGTGGTACTGGTTGCTTTGATTAAGTTCAACGTTAAACCACAACATTCGTGGGTTGGCAGACAAGAGATTAGAGCATAGGAAGTGGTCGACTTGGGATTAAGAATAGAAACAGGATGGACGCAGCGGAGACTGGAGCTAGTTGGCTGACCGTAGGCCTGTTTTACTATGGACGTGGTCCATGTAGCAAAGGCTTGACCATGAGAATTACGCAGAGGCTTTAGCCTCGAATAATCAGCGAGACGCCGGAGATTGGTAATAACGCCTTGAGTAGCACAGATAAGGTGGCAGGGGTCGAGTGAAATACTTGAACCAGGGAGATAGCAGACAGGCAAGAGAGACTCTGATAATACCTAGGGAAGAAGGACTGCGTAACACTTTGTCAGACTCTGATCAACAATCCCAGTACAAGGGTAAGGGGGTTGCGCACGCCAATATGGAGTGTGGAGGGCTCTCATGAAAGCCGCTCAAAAGGGCACACCACACTACATTTAAATAAGCAAGAAAAATTGTGATAGTGAAGGCGTGATAAGAGGATATAGGAGGCGAATAGTCCAGGACAGAAGGAAAGATACCACAACGGTTTAGCACACATTTGGTCAAAGGATCGGCTTCATTTGTCTTTTTGACGAATTGTAATGTGGTGATAAGAATGGCAAGACTCACAGACGATGTCGACTACGATTCCAGCGAAACGTCTGAAAATGTAACACGTCCACGGTCCGACTTTGGAAATGATTATGCATACAATGGACTCAGGACTGGTGCGTCCCTCTAAGTCTTCCTACCAATATGACCAAGTTGCGAAAACAAGGTCAAACAATTTCTATACAACGAAAGG